TGGGAGGCCGAGTTGCTCAATTAGGCGGTGCTGGACGAGGAGGTGTTGGCTTTCAAGAAGACGGTGTTCGACTGAGAGGTCCAGCTGATCCAGTAGGCGATGCTGGTCGAGGAGGCGGTGGCTTTCAAGAAGACGGTGTTCGACTGGGAGGTCCAGCTGCTCAAGGTGTTGGCTTTCAAGAAGACGGTATTCGACTCGGAGGTCCAGCTGCTCCAGTAGGCGGTGCTGGACGAGTAGGGGTTGGCTTTCAAGAAGACAGTGTTCGACTGGGAGGCCCAGCTGCTCTAGTAGGCGGTGCTGGACGAGGAGGCATTGGCTTTCAAGAAGACAGTGTTCGACTGGGAGGCCCAGCTGCTCCAGAGTGCGGTGCTAGACAAAAAGATAGTGGCTTTCAAAAAGACGGTGTTCGACTGTGAGACCCAGCTGCTCCAGAGGGCGGTACCAGATGAAAGGCGGTGGCTTTCAAGAAGACGGGGTTCGACTGGGAGGTCCAGCTGCTCCATAAGGTAGTGCTGGACGAGGAGGCGGTAGATTTCAAGATACCGGTGTTCGACTGGGACTCCCAGCTGCTCCAGAAGGCGATGCTGGACGAGGAGGCGGTGGGTTTCAAGAAGACAGTGTTCGACTGGGAGGCCCAGCTGCTCCAGATGGCAGTGATAGACGAAAAAGTGCTGGCTTTCAAGAAGACGGTGTTCGACTGGGAGGCCCAGCTGCTCCAGAAGGTAGTGCTGGACGAGGAGGCGGTGGATTTCAAGATAACGGTGTTCGACTGGGACTCCCAGCTGCTCCAGAAGGCGATGCTGGACGAGGAGGCGGTGGGTTTGAAGAAGACGGTGTTCGACTGGGAAGTCCACCTGCTCCAGTAGGCGGTGCTGGACGCGGAGGCGTTGGCTTTCAAGAAGACAGTGTTCGACTGGGAGGCCCAGCTGCTCCAGAAGGCGGTGCTGGACGAGGAGGCGGTGGGTTTCAAGAAGACGGTGTTCGACTGGGAAGTCCACCTGCTCCAGTAGGCGGTGCTGGACGCGGAGGCGGTGACTTTCAAGAAGACGGTGTTCGACTGGGAGGCCCAGCTGCTCGAGCGGGCGGAGCTAGACGAAAAAGCGGTTGTTTTCAAGAAGACGTTATTAGACTGGGAGGCCGAGTTGCTCAAGTAGGCGGTGCTGGACGAGGAGGTGTTGGCTTTCAAGAAGACGGTGTTCGACTGGGAGGCCCAGCTGCTCCCGAAGGCGGTGCTGGACGAGGAGGCGGTGGCTTTCAAGAAAACGGTGTTCGACTGGGAGGCCCAGCTGCTCGAGAGGGCGGTGGCTTTCAAGAAGACATTGTTCGACTGGGAGGCCCAGCTGCTCCAGAGGGCAGTGATAGACGAAAAAGCGGTGGCTTTCAAGAAGACGGTGTTCGACTGGGAGGCCCAGCTGCTCCAGAAGGTAGTGCTGGACGAGGAGCGGTGCATTTCAAGATAACGGTGTTCGACTGGGACTCCCAGCTGCTCCAGAAGGCGATGCTGGACGAGGAGGCGGTGGGTTTGAAGAAGACGGTGTTCGACTGGGAGGTCCAGCTGCTCCAGTAGGCGGTGATGGACGCGGAGGCGTTGGCTTTCAAGAAGACAGTGTTCGACTGGGAAGCCCAGCTGCTCCAGAAGGCGGTGCTGGACGAGGAGGCGGTGACTTTCAAGAAGACGGTGTTCGACTGGGAGGCCCAGCTGCTCAAGAGGGCGGAGCTAGACGAAAAAGCGGTTGTTTTCAAGAAGACGTTATTAGACTGGGAGGCCAAGTTGCTCAATTAGGCGGTGCTGGACGAGGAGGTGTTGGCTTTCAAGAAGACGGTGTTCGACTGAGAGGTCCAGCTGCTCCAGTAGGCGATGCTGGACGAGGAGGCGGCGGCTTTTAAGAAGACGGTGTTCGACTGGGAGGTCCAGCTGCTCCCGAAGGCGGTGCTGGACGAGGAGGCGGTGGCTTTCAAGAAAACGGTGTTCGACTGGGAGGCCCAGCTGCTCGAGAGGGCGGTGGCTTTCAAGAAGACATTGTTCGACTGGGAGGCCCAGCTGCTCCAGAGGGCAGTGATAGACGAAAAAGCGGTGGCTTTCAAGAAGACGGTGTTCGACTGGGAGGCCCAGCTGCTCCAGAAGGTAGTGCTGGACGAGGAGCGGTGCATTTCAAGATAACGGTGTTCGACTGGGACTCCCAGCTGCTCCAGAAGGCGATGCTGGACGAGGAGGCGGTGGGTTTGAAGAAGACGGTGTTCGACTGGGAGGTCCAGCTGCTCCAGTAGGCGGTGATGGACGGGGAGGCGTTGGCTTTCAAGAAGACAGTGTTCGACTGGGAAGCCCAGCTGCTCCAGAAGGCGGTGCTGGACGAGGAGGCGGTGACTTTCAAGAAGACGGTGTTCGACTGGGAGGCCCAGCTGCTCAAGAGGGCGGAGCTAGACGAAAAAGCGGTTGTTTTCAAGAAGACTTTATTAGACTGGGAGGCCAAGTTGCTCAATTAGGCGGTGCTGGACGAGGAGGTGTTGGCTTTCAAGAAGACGGTGTTCGACTGAGAGGTCCAGCTGCTCCAGTAGGCGATGCTGGACGAGGAGGCGGCGGCTTTTAAGAAGACGGTGTTCGACTGGGAGGTCCAGCTGCTCCAGTAGGCGGTGCGGGACGCGGAGGCGTTGGCTTTCCAGAAGACAGTGTTCGACTGGGAGGCCCAGCTGCTCCCGAAGGCGGTGCTGGACGAGGAGGCGGTGGCTTTCAAGAAAACGGTGTTCGACTGGGAGGCCCAGCTGCTCGAGAGGGCGGTGGCTTTCAAGAAGACATTGTTCGACTGGGAGGCCCAGCTGCTCCATTCCAGAGGGCAGTGATAGACGAAAAAGCGGTGGCTTTCAAGAAGACGGTGTTCGACTGGGAGGCCCAGCTGCTCCAGAAGGTAGTGCTGGACGAGGAGGCGGTGGATTTCAAGATAACGGTGTTCGACTGGGACTCCCAGCTGCTCCAGAAGGCGATGCTGGACGAGGAGGCGGTGGGTTTCAAGAAGACGGTGTTCGACTGGGAGGTCCAGCTGCTCCAGTAGGCGGTGCTGGACGCGGAGGCGTTGGCTTTCAAGAAGACAGTGTTCGACTGGGAGGCCCAGCTGCTCCAGATGGAAGTGATAGACGAAAAAGTGGTGGCTTTCAAGAAGACGGTGTTCGACTGGGAGGCCCAGCTGCTCCAGAAGGTAGTGCTGGACGAGGAGGCGGTGGATTTCAAGATAACGGTGTTCGACTGGGACTCCCAGCTGCTCCAGAAGGCGATGCTGGACGAGGAGGCGGTGGGTTTCAAGAAGACGGTGTTCGACTGGGAAGTCCACCTGCTCCAGTAGGCGGTGCTGGACGCGGAGGCGTTGGCTTTCAAGAAGACAGTGTTCGACTGGGAGGCCCAGCTGCTCCAGAAGGCGGTGCTGGACGAGGAGGCGGTGACTTTCAAGAAGACGGTGTTCGACTGGGAGGCCCAGCTGCTCGAGCGGGCGGAGCTAGACGAAAAAGCGGTTGTTTTCAAGAAGACGTTATTAGACTGGGAGGCCGAGTTGCTCAAGTAGGCGGTGCTGGACGAGGAGGTGTTGGCTTTCAAGAAGACGGTGTTCGACTGGGAGGACCAGCTGCTCCAGTAGGCGATGATGGACGAGGAGGCGGTGGCTTTCAAGGAGACGGTGTTCGACTGGGAGGCCCAGCTGCTCCAGAAGGTAGTGCTGGACGAGGAGGCGGTGGATTTCAAGATAACGGTGTTCGACTGGGACTCCCAGCTGCTCCAGAAGGCGATGCTGGACGAGGAGGCGGTGGGTTTCAAGAAGACGGTGTTCGACTGGGAGGTCCAGCTGCTCCAGTAGGCGGTGCTGGACGCGGAGGCGTTGGCTTTCATGAAGACAGTGTTCGACTGGGAGGCCCAGCTGCTCCAGAAGGCGGTGCTGGACGAGGAGGCGGTGACTTTCAAGAAGACGGTGTTCGACTGGGAGGTCCAGCTGCTCAAGGTGTTGGCTTTCAAGAAGACGGTATTCGACTCGGAGGTCCAGCTGCTCCAGTAGGCGGTGCTGGACGAGTAGGGGTTGGCTTTCAAGATAACGGTGTTCGACTGGGACTCCCAGCTGCTCCAGAAGGCGATGCTGGACGAGGAGGCGGTGGGTTTCAAGAAGACGGTGTTCGACTGGGAGGTCCAGCTGCTCCAGTAGGCGGTGCTGGACGCGGAGGCGTTGGCTTTCAAGAAGACAGTGTTCGACTGGGAGGCCCAGCTGCTCCAGATGGAAGTGATAGACGAAAAAGTGGTGGCTTTCAAGAAGACGGTGTTCGACTGGGAGGCCCAGCTGCTCCAGAAGGTAGTGCTGGACGAGGAGGCGGTGGATTTCAAGATAACGGTGTTCGACTGGGACTCCCAGCTGCTCCAGAAGGCGATGCTGGACGAGGAGGCGGTGGGTTTCAAGAAGACGGTGTTCGACTGGGAAGTCCACCTGCTCCAGTAGGCGGTGCTGGACGCGGAGGCGTTGGCTTTCAAGAAGACAGTGTTCGACTGGGAGGCCCAGCTGCTCCAGAAGGCGGTGCTGGACGAGGAGGCGGTGACTTTCAAGAAGACGGTGTTCGACTGGGAGGCCCAGCTGCTCGAGCGGGCGGAGCTAGACGAAAAAGCGGTTGTTTTCAAGAAGACGTTATTAGACTGGGAGGCCGAGTTGCTCAAGTAGGCGGTGCTGGACGAGGAGGTGTTGGCTTTCAAGAAGACGGTGTTCGACTGGGAGGACCAGCTGCTCCAGTAGGCGATGATGGACGAGGAGGCGGTGGCTTTCAAGGAGACGGTGTTCGACTGGGAGGCCCAGCTGCTCCAGAAGGTAGTGCTGGACGAGGAGGCGGTGGATTTCAAGATAACGGTGTTCGACTGGGACTCCCAGCTGCTCCAGAAGGCGATGCTGGACGAGGAGGCGGTGGGTTTCAAGAAGACGGTGTTCGACTGGGAGGTCCAGCTGCTCCAGTAGGCGGTGCTGGACGCGGAGGCGTTGGCTTTCATGAAGACAGTGTTCGACTGGGAGGCCCAGCTGCTCCAGAAGGCGGTGCTGGACGAGGAGGCGGTGACTTTCAAGAAGACGGTGTTCGACTGGGAGGTCCAGCTGCTCAAGGTGTTGGCTTTCAAGAAGACGGTATTCGACTCGGAGGTCCAGCTGCTCCAGTAGGCGGTGCTGGACGAGTAGGGGTTGGCTTTCAAGAAGACAGTGTTCGACTGGGAGGCCCAGCTGCTCTAGTAGGCGGTGCTGGACGAGGAGGCATTGGCTTTCAAGAAGACAGTGTTCAACTGGGAGGCCCAGCTGCTCTAGAGTGCGGTGCTAGACAAAAGGCAGTGGCTTTCAAAAAGACGGTGTTCGACTGTGAGACCCAGCTGCTCCAGAGGGCGGTACCAGACGAAAGGCGGTGGCTTTCAAGAAGACGGGGTTCGACTGGGAGGTCCAGCTGCTCCAGAAGGTAGTGCTGGACGAGGAGGCGGTAGATTTCAAGATACCGGTGTTCGACTGGGATTCCCAGCTGCTCCAGAAGGCGATGCTGGACGAGAAGGCGGTGGCTTTCAAGAAGACGTTGTTCGACTGGGAGGTCCAGCTGCTCCAGTAGGCGGTGCTGAACGCGGAGGCGTTGGCTTTCAAGAAGACAGTGTTCGACTGGGAGGCCCAGCTGCTCCAGAAGGCGGTGCTGGACGAGGAGGCGGTGGCTTTCAACAAGACGGTGTTCGACTGGGAGGCCGAGTTGCTCAAGTAGGCGGTGCTGGACGAGGAGGTGTTGGTTTTCAAGAAGACGGTGTTCGACAGGGAGGGCCAGCTGCTCTAGTAGGCGGTGCTGGACGAGGAGGCGTTGGCTTTCAAGAAGACAGTTTTCGACTGGGAGGCCCAGCTGCTCCAGAAGGCGGTGCTGGACGAGGAGGCGGTGGCTTTCAGGAAGAAGTTGTTCGACTGGGAGGCCCAGCTGCTCCAGAGGGCGGTGCTGGACGAGCAGGCAGTGGCTTGCAAGAAGACAGTGTTCGACTGGGAGGCCCAGCTGCTCCAGAGGGCAGTGATAGACGAAAAAGTGGTGGCTTTCAAGAAGACGGTGTTCGACTGGGAGGCCCAGCTGCTCCAGAAGGTAGTGCTGGACGAGAAGGCGGTGGATTTCAAGATAACGGTGTTCGACTGGGACTCCCAGCTGCTCCAGAAGGCGATGCTGGACGAGGAGGCGGTGGGTTTCAAGAAGACGGTGTTCGACTGGGAAGTCCACCTGCTCGAGTAGGCGGTGCTGGACGCGGAGGCGTTGGCTTTCAAGAAGACAGTGTTAGACTGGGAGGCCCAGCTGCTCCAGAAGGCGGTGCTAGACGAGGAGGCGGTGACTTTCAAGAAGACGGTGTTCGACTGGGAGGCCCAGCTGCTCGAGCGGGCGGAGCTAGACGAAAAAGCGGTTGTTTTCAAGAAGACGTTATTAGACTGGGAGGCCGAGTTGCTCAAGTAGGCGGTGCTGGACGAGGAGGTGTTGGCTTTCAAGAAGACGGTGTTCGACTGGGAGGACCAGCTGCTCCAGTAGGCGATGATGGACGAGGAGTCGGTGGCTTTCAAGGAGACGGTGTTCGACTGGGAGGCCCAGCTGCTCCAGAAGGTAGTGCTGGACGAGGAGGCGGTGGATTTCAAGATAACGGTGTTCGACTGGGACTCCCAGCTAATCCAGAAGGCGATGCTGGACGAGGAGGCGGTGGGTTTCAAGAAGACGGTGTTCGACTGGGAGGTCCAGCTGCTCCAGTAGGCGGTGCTGGACGCGGAGGCGTTGGTTTTCATGAAGACAGTGTTCGACTGGGAGGCCCAGCTGCTCCAGAAGGCGGTGCTGGACGAGGAGGCGGTGACTTTCAAGAAGACGGTGTTCGACAGGGAGGCCCTGCTGCTCAAGAGGGCGGAGCTACACGAAAAAGCGGTTGTTTTCAAGCAGACGTTATTAGACTGGGAGGCCGAGTTGCTCAATTAGTCGGTGCTGGACGAGGAGGTGTTGGCTTTCAAGAAGACGGTGTTCGACTGAGAGGTCCAGCTGCTCCAGTAGGCGATGCTGGTCGAGGAGGCGGTGGCTTTCAAGAAGACGGTGTTCGACTGGGAGGTCCAGCTGCTCAAGGTGTTGGCTTTCAAAAAGACGTTTTTAGACTGGGAGCGCCAGTTGCTCAAGTAGGCGGTGCTGGACGAGTAGGGGTTGGCTTTCAAGAAGACAGTGTTCGACTGGGAGGCCCAGCTGCTCTAGTGGGCGGTGCTGGACGAGGAGGCATTGGCTTTCAAGAAGACAGTGTTCGACTGGGAGGCCCAGCTGCTCCAGAGTGCGGTGCTAGACAAAAAGATAGTGGCTTTCAAAAAGACGGTGTTCGACTGTGATACCCAGCTGCTCCAGAGGGCGGTACCAGATGAAAGGCGGTGGCTTTCAAGAAGACGGGGTTCGACTGGGAGGTCCAGCTGCTCCAGAAGGTAGTGCTGGACGAGGAGGCGGTAGATTTCAAGATACCGGAGTTCGACTGGGACTCCCAGCTGCTCCAGAAGACGATGCTGGACGAGAAGGCGGTGGCTTTCAAGAAGACGTTGTTCGACTGGGAGGTCCAGCTGCTCCAGTAGGCGGTGCTGAACGCGGAGGCGTTGGCTTTCAAGAAGACAGTGTTCGAATGGGAGGCCCAGCTGCTCCAGAAGGCGGTGCTGGACGAGGAGGCGGTGGCTTTCAAGAAGACGGTGTTCGACTGGGAGGCCGAGTTGCTCAAGTAGGCGGTGCTGGACGAGGAGGTGTTGGCTTTCAAGAAGACGGTGTTCGACAGGGAGGGCCAGCTGCTCTAGTAGGCGGTGCTGGACGAGGAGGCGTTGGCTTTCAAGAAGACAGTTTTCGACTGGGAGGCCCAGCTGCTCCAGCAGGCGGTGCTGGACGAGGAGGCGGTGGCTTTCAAGAAGACGGTGTTCGACTGGGAGGCCCAGCTGCTCGAGAGGGCGGAGCTAGACGAAAAAGCGGTTGTTTTAAAGAAGACGTTATTAGACTGGGAGGCCGAGTTGCTCAAGTAGGCGGTGCTGAACGAGGAGGCGTTGGCTTTCAAGACGACAGTTTTCGACTGGGAGTCCCAGTTGCTCCAGAGGGCGGTACGAGACGAAAGGCGGTGGCTTTCAAGAACAGGTTGTTCGACTGGGAGGCCCAGCTACTCCAGAAAGCGGTGCTGGAGGGGAGGCGGTGGCTTTCAAGAAGACGGTGTTCGACTGGGAGGCCCCAGCTGCTCCAGAGGGCGGTGCTGGACGAGAAGGCGGTGGCTTTCAAGAAGACGCTGTTCGACTGGGAGGCCTAGCTGCTCCAGAAGGCGTTGCTTGACTAGGAGGCGGTGGTTTTCAAGAAGAAGGTGTTCGACTGGGAGGCCCAGCTGCTCCAGAGGCCGGTGCTAGACGGAAAGGCGAAGGCTTTCAAGAAGATGGTGTTCGACTGGGAGGACCAGCTGCTCCAGAGTGCGGTGCTAGACGAAAAAGCGGTGGCTTTCAAAAAGACGGTGTTCGACTGGGCGGCCCAGCTGTTCCAGGAGGCGGTGCTGAACGAGGAGGCGGTGGCTTTCAAGAAGACGGTGTTCGACTGGGAGGCCCAGCTGCTCGAGAGGGGGGAGCCTAGACGAAAAAGCCGTGGCTTTCAAGAAGACATTATTAGACTGGGAGGCCCAATTGCTCAAGTAGACGGTGCTGGACGAGGAGGTGTTGGCTTTCAAGAAGACGGTGTTCGACTGGGAGGTCCAGCTGCTCCAGTAGGCGGTGCTGGACGAGGAGGCGTTGGCTTTCAAGAAGACAGTGTTCGACTGGGATGCCCAGCTGCTCCAGAAGGCGGCGCTGGACGAGGAGGCGGTGGCTTTCAAGAAGACGGTGTTCGACTGGGACGCCCAGCTGCTCGAGAGGGCGGATCTAGACGAAAAAGCGGTGGCTTTCAAAAAGACGTTTTTAGACTGGGAGCCCCAGTTGCTCAAGTAGGCGGTGCTGGACGAGGAGGTGTTGGCTTTCAAGAAGACGGTGTTCGACTGGGATGCCCAGCTGCTCCAGAAGGCGGCGCTGGACGAGGAGGCGGTGGCTTTCAAGAAGACGGTGTTCGACTGGGAGGCCCAGCTGCTCCAGAGGCCGGTGCTAGACGGAAAGGCGAAGGCTTTCAAGAAGATGGTGTTCGACTGGGAGGACCAGCTGCTCCAGAGTGCGGTGCTAGACGAAAAAGCGGTGGCTTTCAAAAAGACGGTGTTCGACTGGGCGGCCCAGCTGTTCCAGGAGGCGGTGCTGAACGAGGAGGCGGTGGCTTTCAAGAAGACGGTGTTCGACTGGGAGGCCCAGCTGCTCGAGAGGGGGGAGCCTAGACGAAAAAGCCGTGGCTTTCAAGAAGACATTATTAGACTGGGAGGCCCAATTGCTCAAGTAGACGGTGCTGGACGAGGAGGTGTTGGCTTTCAAGAAGACGGTGTTCGACTGGGAGGTCCAGCTGCTCCAGTAGGCGGTGCTGGACGAGGAGGCGTTGGCTTTCAAGAAGACAGTGTTCGACTGGGATGCCCAGCTGCTCCAGAAGGCGGCGCTGGACGAGGAGGCGGTGGCTTTCAAGAAGACGGTGTTCGACTGGGAGGCCCAGCTGCTCGAGAGGGCGGAGCTAGACGAAAAAGCGGTGGCTTTCAAAAAGACGTTTTTAGACTGGGAGCCCCAGTTGCTCAAGTAGGCGGTGCTGGACGAGGAGGTGTTGGCTTTCAAGAAGACGGTGTTCGACTGGGAGGTGCAGCTGCTCCAGTAGGCTGTGCTGTACGAGGAGGTGTTGGCTTTCAAGAAGACAGTGTTCGACTGGGAGGCCCAGCTGCTCCAGAGTGCGGTGCTAGACGAAAAAGCAGTGGCTTTCAAAAAGACGGTTTTCGACTGTGAGACCCAGCTGCTCCAGAGGGCGGTACGAGACGAAAGGCGGTGGCTTTCATGAAGACGGTGTTCGAATGGGAGGCCCAGCTACTCCAGAAAGCGGTGCTGGAGATAGGCGGTGGCTTTCAAGAAGACGGTGTTCGACTGGGAGGCCCAGCTGCTCCAGAGGGCGGTGCTGGACGAGAAGGCGGTGGCTTTCAAGAAGTCGCTGTTCGACTGGGAGGCCTAGCTGCTCCAGAAGGCGTTGCTTGACGAGGAAGCGGTGGTTTTCAAGAAGAAGGTGTTCGACTGGGAGGCCAGGCTGCTCCAGAAGGCGGTGCTGAACGAGGAGGCGGTGGCTTTCAAAAAGACGGTGTTCGACTGGGAGGCCCAGCATCTCGAGAGGGCGGAGCTAGACGAAAAAACGGTGGCTTTCAAGAAGACGTTATTAGACTGGGAGGACAAGTTGCTCAAG